CTCACCTCCCTTGGGCAACAACAAAAAAGAATAACATTTTAAACTTTTTAAATGATTTGTTAACCAGGGGAGTGGGGGGGGGGGGGCATTTTACGTTACCATCTTTTAATTTTACCTATTTTTGGCCGGGGGCGATCTTGTCGTTCACATAATGGCGCAGGTTACAACGAAGGGTTTCATTCTCGGTTAAGCTCCCCAATATTTACATTATTCTCCTAGATAGCTAGCTTGGGCCAAATATATGATTTGCATCACAAATAGTTTTTCCGACTGACTAAGCAATAAATATGTATTGAAATATAAGCTGTCATGGCTATGACGATGACTTGCAAAGCATTTCATGTGAAAGGTTTCGTTCTCGGGTGCGCCAAGAGATAACTTTTCAAGATTCACCCTTTTGACTAAGATTGGTCAACATTTGTTTGACGATCCCGTTTACGATTTGTTTAACAACTCTAGGGATCTGTAACACAAAACTTAGCAATTGACTGTACGATTGATTGATCGATCGTTAAATCAATTAATTATAAACAATCGTCAATTCCAAAAAAGCAATAAATTGCTAGTTTATCTTTGTGTGACGGTGCCTAAACGTTAAAGCACTATCGACCACGCTTCACTTCAAGTCTCAGGTAAATACCTTCTTTAAGATGAAATGTCTCCTTTAATAAGATCAAGGAAATGTTTTAAAAATAATAACGAGGACATGATTACGATATAGCATTCTCATCTTCTTCCTCCCTGATGCAATAAATCGGTGATTTTTTGACAAAATATACAATGTCAATGTACAGATGGATACTGTGATTTTGTTACATTTCATGAATGTTTATTTTAATATTCAATGTTTAACTATAGTCTGTTTTGCCCTTTGACTAGACATTATGCAGTGCAAGAAATGCCTTATTTTCATTTTGAATTACACATTCCTTCACACGAAACAAATTTGCTTAATTTTACGTTCTTCTATATACAAAAGAAAACTAGACTGACAACATTGTTTTTTTAAGTTCTCAACACTAGGAAAATGAGACGATATCGTATGCAAGTAACAAGGAAAAACATTGTGCCATAATAGCTAGTAGTTGGTTAATGAACAGCAACATCAATGATTCATTTTTCCCATTCACCTTTACAAAATTGAATGTACATTGGAATTTAAAAAAAAAATAGTTTGAAAAAAGGATACCCATAATGTCACACTAGGCATACCCACATACACTTAAAAACGCGTCCATTGTATTTTTTATAACCCACCCTGGTGTAAAACAACGGGATTCAGAGAAAAGATTGAACCACCCTGGAAATACAAAATTCCACCTACTAAATAAACGAACATATGAACATCCATACAACACGATCAATGTCCATGTCTTCCTTGTCCATAATCCACAGTTTGTGTGATATTGTGACCGTGTGCAAAATGAATAGCAGGCCAATACTATTGACATGCTAAAAAAAAATTCTCGTTTCTTCGCCCTTGGTGCACAACTCAAAATATATTTTAGATAGCATGTTAGTATAGGTCCCCTAAAAAGAAAAGATCCCTCTGAGCCATTATTCTTTGAAAAAGCTGATGTTTAGTCATTTTATGTGTTGGAACAGATAAGAAAGTAGTCCGGCACTACATCACTCTGACATCATACCGCTTCAGCCAATTTAAAGTGCCCATACGTATTGTGATTACAAATGTCAAAATTCATAACTTTCTTATATTTAGTCAGATTTTATTGAACCTTTCATCAGTTTGCTCCTCTGATTTTTCTGCTTTCTTATAGAGTAGATATCAAATTGGGTTCGATTTCTCTTTAAATTGATGGTACATAGTTGTTCAAAATAAACAAATGAATAGTCTTGTTTAACTCTTCATTGTAATCTCAGAAATCAATACACAAGCGCAAAAGACTATGTCTAAAAGTTGTAACAATGACCAGCATTGATCGAAACATAATGTCGAACAAACTTCTATTGGCATTCTATTTTCATAAATCATTTTACAAGGACATGTTTTTTCACCCAAGCTTCACAGATCTCTACCATCGATCAAAATAATTTAATATCAATTCTAAACCTAACTGTGTAAACAACGTAACAATATCATTTGAAGGTCTTGCGTTTCCCTTCTTTAAGATCCAGCCTAGGAACTAACCACACAAAACAAGAACAAAAATGTGTACAGCCTCATAACATAGGAAAAAGTTGTGGGTGTGTGTGTAGGTGTGTGTGTTTGTGCGTGTATGTAGGCGCGTGTAATTGGGTTTTACAGACGTGTGCCAATCATACGTGATCAATCGTGTATCGGGACCGAGTTCTTTGACAGTAACCGTCACAAGATGTCTTAATAGTCATGTTTATGGAACTGGTTATAACAAGGAGTTATTCCATATGGGTTCAGCCTAACGAATCACTTGATATCGAGAAAAATTAGGTACTCCCTCCAACCTAAAGAAATCAAAAGTGAAGAAGAGGAGAGAAAGTACCAGCGAAAAACGATGATGGTATAAGACAAAGTAACACTTACCCGGACATCCTTATATATCTATCAAAGATGTTCGGCATATATTATTAATTGGATTTAACTTACATAAATACCTTGGACTTAAAGTTTTGAGAGCCAAGTACTAACACATTATTTAAAAAAACATCGACAGTCTTCAGATCAATCAGAAGGTATCATAAGTAGGGAAAGATTAGTTGATGTTAATGACAGTACGACAGTATGACAATATACCTGACAGTGGCCTATACTGCAACTGAAAAAGAGCCTTTGGGTGTGGGATTTTATATTTAGATGTTTGAATGGATCGATGTAAAAATATCAATGTTTAATAAGAATAGCAGACTTAGCAACTTCGTATTTCACTGACGACAAAACTGATGACTGACAACAAAACTAATGAGAAGAAAAAGGGATACCTGTTTAAGTTTGGGAGGCGTATAATAATATTCCTTTTTGTAAGTTGTGGAAGAAGAAAAAAAAAAAAAATTAGTATGATGGCAAAAAGACATTTAAAAAACAGTAAATATACAAAGGTATTACTACCATTTATGATCTGATTAGTAATGTCATATTATATATTGTTTTGTTTCATATATACAATTACTGCGTTATAAAATTTTAAACGAAAAAGTCCCCTTTGCGATAAAAAAAAAAAAAAGGAGGAATTTGATTTGTTACAAAAGAATCGAGAAGTTGTGCCGAAAAAAAAAAACATCGCCCACCGTGACCGACTCTTCAATAGGAGTAGCTCCATATAAATAAATATGTTTATGGATTTGCAACTTCCATATTCTTTGTCCGCTTTTTCTCTGTTTCCCCCGATTTTCCTAGAGAGAGAGAGAGAAGAATACTGCAACAATAAGCCAGTTTAGGCCACCTAATTTATTTCAGTTCATTGGAAATTAACAAGCGCACAAAAATGTTTGTCGAAGAGTTGAAACAACGGCCAACTTTGTTTGAAAAATAATGTCCGACAAGCTTCCGTTAAAATTACCCTCTTCAGAATGTATTTTACGAGGGCATGTTTTTCACCAACGCTCTACAGATCTCTACCATTGGTTATAATAACTAATACTGTTAATGATAAACCCAGTTGCGTATGAAAACAACGTAACAATATCGTTTCAATGCGTTACGTATCCCTTCTTTTGAGATCCAGCCTTCATATCATTGGAAAAGAGGTGTGTATGTGTGTGTGTGTCTATGAAGGTAGGAGCATGGATATGCATATGGGAGCATGACATTGCGTTTTACAGACGTGTACCAATCAGACATGATCAATTGTGTCTCGGGACCGAACTCTTTGACAATACCAGTCACAACAAAAAATCAAGTTTATGGATCTGGTCATAACAAAGAGTTATTTTTTTACACGCACAAACGCGCACATACTCGCACACACATACATGCACACGCACATCACACGCACCCACACATGGTCGAGTGGTTTAAGGCGCTTGACTTGGAGATGCGAAGGTCGAGGGTTCGAATCCCGACACCGGCACTAATATCCTTTGGCAAAATATTAACCTGCACTTGCTTCTCTTAATGCCTTACCAAAGGGCACTAGCGCATCGCCTTGGTTTCGAACCCGGGTCACCGGATTACGAGACCACTGCTCTACCGACTGAGCTATCGAGTTATCTCTCGTAAATACCATGCATGCTTACTGTTTCAGCAGTAGTATACTGCATTAGATTCCACTGATACATGAGTATATCTACAAGGCTGAAACAATTGTCTTACTTGTTGAATAAAGAGAAGAAGAAAAACACAACAATGAATATTAGTGTAAGACTTAAAGCAATACTATCCGAAAAAATTGATTCAAGTTATGATTTCGCATCGACCTCGAAGAAGATACAACGAAATGTATTTTCCTAAAAGTCAGATAATCGTCACTAATAGAAAATATGTTTTATGTAACATTTTCTTTGTTTCGATTTGTTTGTTTGTTTGTTTCAAATGATACTCTATTAAAAATATAAAGATGGGATCACAAGATGGTATTAGCACGGAGGGAAAAGGAGCTTATTAAAAAACGATATTGTTAGGCATAGGGTTGTTCCGCCTAAGGTTTTGCTTTAAAAATCTGTTCCAGGCCTCAATATTTATAGTTTGCGGAGTACATTTAAATTTACACTACTCACTTGATTCACCATATTTGCCCTATACTAAACAGAATTGATCGTGGTTCCCAGATAAGTAGAGCTTGATGCATTGCGATTCCCTTTTTTTTAGCAGATGTTTCTGCATTTATTGATAAAAACAAATATAAAAAAATTAAACAACAATAATAGTATATAACATAAATAGTGACGAGTGACAACTTAAATACACACAAATAAAAATGCATAATTGAAAGCTTGAAAGTATGGAGGTAAGTAAAAATAATCAAGATAAATGCAGAGGCCAACTATCATAAGCAAGAATGCTTCAGTCGATAGCAGCCTTTCTAAGGTATATCTTTATATTTCACTTGCTACAGGGCGATGCAAATATGGGGGTGAACACGGATGACGAGGAGATGGGGCCAGGATCAACATTAACAGATGGAGTCGAGGTAAGCAAAATGTAATTTTCTGGCTAACGCATTTTATAAGGTTTACTCATTAAAGTCTAATAAAAATAATATCATATCTACTTATCTTTCATATTTCATGAATAATTATGAGGTTTATAGACTTGACGTTCTCACTCCTGACGTTCAAAAGCATTCACAAAGAATATCTCCCACTCAAATCGTCTGACGAACCGGACGTGGCTTCTGAGCCACAATCCATAGGGAAAGTTCACTGTAATATTAAAGTGTCTGAAGTAATAGAATACAAATTAAAGCAAAAAATTGATGAACATTTCAAATCATTCTTTCACAATGAGGCTGCTTTATGATTTATCACGCATGCACCACAACAAGTGGCCCTATACAAAAACTTTCACTTCCAATTTAACAAAATAAAAAGATAAAGTGTTTTTATACCTATGTTCTAAATGTATTATTAAAAGTGTTTTAGATTCAGATTCAGATTCAGATTTTATTTCCGTTTCAAAACAAACAAAATATAAACAGACATAATATAATACAGTCAAATATAATATAAACAAAGTAAATTCAGTATTATGTAGAACAAAATTTAGTTGATAAGAAATAGTGGGAAAAAACAGTACTGAACAATAGAAAAAAAATGACCTTGATGAAGTAATTCAAAACGGAGGGGCTTGCTAAAAAAGCAGAGCTTGTATGAGGCAAGCCCCTGACTTAGTTACATGGATACGCTTAAATAATTATGGTCGAAAGCTAATACCAGTAAAACACACTAAAAGGGAATACAAAAAAAAAGAAAAAGTAAAAATAAAAATAAAAGTAAGATAAATATAGTAACAGAGAGAGAGAGAGAGAGAGAGAGGGGAGAGAGCAAGAGAGAAATAGAGAGCGAGAGAAAGGCAGGAAGAAGGAGATGGGGACAGGAGGCAGGTACACCACCAGGTCGTTAGGCTTGTTTAGATTATTCTTAAAAAAGAAACAAAAAAGGAGGAAAGGAGGAGTAACAAAAGGAAAGATTTGTTTTATCTTTCCGTAGGTTTAGATTTTTGAGCTTGGCTTGTTGGTGGAGAGTATTGGCTGATTAATGTTTTCCTAAGTTTACGTTTAAAATTGCTAAGACTAGGGGCTTCTTTTATATCGTTGGGAAGAGAATTCCAATAGGCACATCCAGCGAAGACAAATGAATTCTGTGCAAATAATGTTCGTGTTAAGGGTAAGTGATAACAGTTCCGTTGTCTAGTCGGGTAATTGTGTACAGAGGCATTTTTGCAGAACATATCGGAAAAAATTGCGGGGAGGTCGTCTTTACTTAGTTTGAACATAAATTGGCCGAGTTGGAACACATAGATATCTTTCACTTTGAGAATATTATTTTCGAAAAATAAAATATCTGTATGAGATCTGAATTGTGTTTGAAATATTATCCTGAGTGCTTTTTTCTGCAGCAGTAGGATCCTATTTAATTGTGTTTGTATTGCACATCCCCATGCTATAATCCCATAATTAATGTATGGTAATATTAAGGTATGATATAATGTAAGAAGAGTTCGAGAAGGAAGAAAGTATTTGAGTTTATTGATAATACCGATGTTTCGTGAAATGGTTTTGCATATATTATCGATGTGAGTTTTCCATGATAATTTTTCATCAATAAACACTCCCAAGAATTTGGTTGTAGAAACATTAACAAGAGCAGCGTTATCAAAAATAATTTCACCTGGCAAACTATTGATTTTGTTGCTAAATAGCATGTAATTGGTCTTCTGCAGATTAAGTGATAGTTTATTAGCCTTGATCCAGTCAGTTACATTTTTTAGTTCAGAGTTTACAGTTCTAAGTAGTTGGTTCGCATTCTCATGAGAAAAGAAAATGTTGGAGTCATCTGCAAAAAGTATAAATGATAATAAATTTGAAGATTTTTGAATGTCATTAATATAGGTAATAAAAAGAAGGGGGCCGAGTAGGCTACCCTGCGGTACACCACAGGTAATAGGAAGTGTAGAAGAATTACAGTTGTTAACCGATACAAATTGAGTCCTATCTGTAAGGTAACTCCTGAACCACTCCAAGGCCTTCCCTCTAATACCATAGTGAGAAAGTTTGTGAAGAAGAATTTCATGGTTTATAGTGTCGAAGGCCTTGGAGAAGTCCAGGAATATACCTACAGTATGCAAACCTTTATCAATGGAAGTGGTAACTGTTTTCATAAAAGACAAAATTGCATGCGAGGTGCTATGATTTTCACGGAAACCAAATTGGAAGTGTGAGAAAATATTGTATTTTTTAAAAAACGTGGTTGTTCTTGTAAAAACAAGTTTCTCAAGAACTTTAGATAACGAGGTAAGTAAGGATATGGGACGATAGTTAGTAACGAGTTGATTATCACCTTTCTTAAAGAGGGGTATGACCTTGGCGATTTTCATTTGATTAGGTACCCGACCTGTATGAAGTGAAATATTAAAGATATGCACCAAGGGATGAACAACAGCTCTGATAATTTTCTTTAATAAGAAGTTGGGAATACAGTCAAACCCGGCGCTCTTCTTAATCAGAAGATTGTTAACAATGTTTATAATTTCTCGAGTGTTTGTAGGATTAAAAAAGATGGAATTTTGGTTAGGGTTGACAAGAAAATCGTTAAATGATTTGGTACTCTGTGGCACTTGTTGTGCCAGTTTGTTACCCACTTGTGAAAAGTACGAGTTAAAATTTTCAGCGATTGTATCAGCATCATCGGTGATAGTATTATTGGTTTTGATTTTTGTTATTGCTGATCCTTTTTTCTTCTTATTTAATACACCATTAATGATTTTCCATGTATTCTTCATATCATTTTTGTACAAATTGAGTTGTGAAGTATAGTATTCTTTTTTTGAAATACGTAATAAAGTGGTAAGGGTGTTTTTATATAATGTGTACTTAGAGCGAGATTCGTCACTTGGTTTTGTAATATATTTATAATACAAGTTATTCTTGCGGTTGATAGATCTTAAAAGCGATTTTGTAATCCAAGGATGAATTGGGGTCTTTTTATAGTTTGATCTCCGGTGGGTGGTGAGGGGAACATGAGTATTTAAAGACGCTGTAAGCTTATTGATAAAGAAGTCGTACGATTCATCAACATCTAATGAATCAAAAACGTTCGACCAGTCTATTAAGTCTAAATCACTGATTAAATTAGTAATATTATCATCAGTTATTTTGCGATATGGAGTAGTGATCGTCGCTTTTTTGACAAGTTTATTTATACACAACTTAGCAAAAACTGGAAAATGATCAGAAATGTCATTTAGGATGATACCGGCTTTGGGGATGGGGTAGGTTATATTGCTAAATATATTATCAATAATAGTAGCTGAATTTTTTGTCACTCTTGTGGGTTTAGTGATAAGTGGTAAGAAAGAATTGGATAAAAAAGTTTCGAGAAACTCTTGCGAAACGTTGTTAATGTTGCAATTCATTAAGTTAATGTTGAAGTCACCCATAATACAGCAATCTTTGTTTTTCAACAGAGGATCTAGCAGAAGGTCATTAAGAGTTCTTAGAAAATTTTGAGTATTTGATTGAGGAGGTCTGTATAAAACGCCTACAATTAAGTTTTTTCCACTTGGGTTGTTAATTTCAACAAAAAGGGATTCTAAAACATCGTTAGATATAGTCATATTAGGTTTAAGAGCATATTCATATAGTTGCGGTATGTAAAGTGCAACACCACCACCGGGTCTAAAAGTTCTGTTATTAACAACTGGTTCCGTCAGAAAAAACGAATGGCCTAGGTGTACGCAAATTAGATGACATAGCGTTTGATTGATACCAAATTGAAGATTCATAACTTTCCCATCCTTTTGTTGGATTTTTATCAGATTTTTACTAATTATGATCCGTTTCTCTCATTACACTGCCTTTATTTAAATCAACTTCATTTAGAAAAGGACCCGGGCGTTTCATCTAATTAAAAATGTAATATTCATTAGTCCCCTCCAAATAGTTATTCTTTGAGTATCTAAGAGCCCTGTTACAGTGAGCAAAAGGCCGGGCCAGGCCGCGGCCTGGCCTAGCACTGTAAACGCGCAATAGGCCAAATGCGAGGCCAATCTGGCCGCGCATTTTGCCCTGCTCTGGAGGGAGTCTCGGCCGCGGCCAGGCCGCGGCCAGGCCGCGGCCTGGCCTGGCTTTTTCTCACTGTAAACACACGCAGGGCCAGGCCGCGGCCCAACTGTTACCCCGGAAGTGAAAGTTCGCCGTGTATAGGAAATTGGGGAAAAGATTCATGTTTATTCATTCAGAGCAGAGATTCATGCAGAGCGCCACTCTGACAAAATATTGAAAGGTTACAATTTAGGCCGCGGCCTGGCCCAGCACTGTAAACGCACAGAATTGCGGGGCCGAGTAGACCTGGCCCGGCCATGGCCATTTTCTCATTGTAAACGGGGTCTTAGACCTAACACTAGAGATACGACCGGCCGTGGACGCCCGACAACCACTGGTCGGGAGTTTTTAGTCAGTGCCAGTGGTTCGGAGCATTTTAGTCGGTTGGAGGTTTACGCTGCTGCATCGAAAACCTTTTGCAGACCAGACTTGTTGTGGAAATGTTTTTTTGTTGGTCTTCCAAGGACACGCAAAAATTATCAGCTTGAATGAAGACTGATCGCCAGTAGTTGTCGATTTATTACCAGGCGACACTTGGTTGGAAAAATGGTGGTAATTGATTTACGAATGATGTACGATCAGTTACCAATTAAATTCCAAACGTTTGCCGAACCTCAGCAACCAGGAATGAATTTCATTTTTTAAGTTTAAAAATGATATTAAATTCAGTTTGTTTGATATGTTTTCCTAAAGGAGAGGGGGTATTATTCCTTTTCTATCACTGGCTTGTGCCTTTTTGTTAAAGTAAATAAGCATACGTATAACGACAAATCGCCCTCAACAAATTATTCACCGATATAATATGGTGCGATTACTTTATGCATTTATACAAACGATATTTGGTGAAAGCCTTGTGTACCTATATATCAGCATCTAGGTTATACATTCGACTTACTTCCAATTCTGTATATCATTATCAATCAAATGAATACTTGACCATAGCCCATACATACTTGTAGTATAACACGTTCTTAGATTTTTGTGTCACGAGGGGGTGGGGCATGCAATTGATTTTTCTCCTGAAAATAAAAAGATTATGGAAGGAAATGCATGCACAAATGCTGGACGCGAGAAAATTTATTTCTGCCAAAGTTTACTTTCATAGTGAATATGACCGCATTGGTGTTCTGACATTTATTATGTGTTATCTTGCCAATACAAATTAAATTAAATTAAATAGAAATGAATTATAATTCACCTGTTCCTTATACCTGTAGGTGTTACAACACCACTTATAAACAGATACTGGAGATTACGTATTAAAACTAGACCAAGGACTAATTTGACATGTTTTAAAACATTTGAGTGCTTTGGGACTCGTAATAATTTTCGGGGCCTGTTATGTGTAGGTTCTACACAAAACTTAATCACTTTATTTTTAACCAAATGTGAATTTAGGATTTGCGTCTATTGTTTTAGAGTTGCGTGTACACCCAACATCTAATGCAACATGGATAATCTACCGCTCACAACGTGCTATTATGGACTTTTAGATTTGCACGAAGACAATGTGGACTGCTACGGTCGACGTCCTTTTAATGCACTGCCTTGAATGGACGTCACTCGTATCAGTCCACGCAAATCTTCAAGTCCCTATTTACAAGGGTGAGAAGGAAAAGTAATACGATTTCGATTGTGTGACAACTAGGAAAGACAAGGGGAGGGGGTATGCATTTGATTCGATTGGAATCTATATATCAACAAAATAATCAGTTTGTCGGGCCAAATTCGATCACTAATATTGATTGGACTGTATCTGTCTAAGGAGATTTGTTTGCTACATTTCATTATGAATGGTATTTTTTGGAGAGATGTATTAATTATAATCCAATCATAATCTATTTTACATTGATATATGAAGAGCTTGATTCCAAAAGGAGCTAAATCCATATTTCATCAAAATTGAGTTTTTTGTCTTAAAATAATGATTTCCTACATGGGGACAAAATGCACTATATCACATTCAAAAGTTTCACCAGGAAGTATAATTTTTTTTAGTTACAATATCATGTTTTATTCCAAAAGGAGCTAAATCCAAATCGGTTTCAGTCCAAAAGGAGCTAAATCCACTTTGGGTACTTGTGAGTAAATCACCTTTTTTGTTTCTCCACTTTCCCTTTAGCCATGTACCTTCATGTTGTTATTTATGTTAAAGGTGTCGCCCTGAACCAATAATATATGATAAGAAAAAAAATCTACCAGTTATTCCTGATTTTTAGTAAATTATTAAAATTTGTGGATTTAGCTCCTTTTGGAATGAAACATGGGTTTAGCTCCTTTTGGAATGAAACGGATTTAGCTCCTTTTGGAATGAAACTGTAATATGTTGTTTACTTTCTTTTCAAAAGGTATTTTTAAATGTGATTTCACTGTTATTATTTAAAAGGAAAGGTTTGCTAATAAATTAAAATAAATTTCAGTGACTTTATTGAGAAAATATCCTAAAATTTCACAAATTTTTGGTACAATATCATGTTTCATTCCAAAAGGAGCTAAATCCACGAAAAATAAGAATCTAAAAATTAATAAAAAAATCATAAATAACTTCGTTTTAAATCATACATTATTGGTCCATGTTGACACCTTTTACACATATAACAACATGAAGGTACATGGCTGAAGGGAAAGGGGAGAAATAAAAATGGCGATTTACTCAGAAGTACCCAAAGTGGATTTAGCTCCTTTTGGAATGAATTCTTCATATATATATATATATATATATTATCTACGTGTATAGATATTCCAGACTTTTATCTCAATGCATGACATGTACACGAACGGTATCTTACTTCGTTGGGCTTTGTTTACTGGAAATAAGTGCCTCCAATTTCAGCTCTTAAGTTTAGAGTTTAAATAGCTAGGTCGCATCGTGAGTGACAACAATATCTTTGTAAAATAAATTAAATTCTTAGTTTTGAGGGCATTTTAATTTGATAAGGTCCTTTAAAAAGATAACAAAAATCAGTTATCGTTTTTGTTCTTGGGTTGAAGTTAGTCAGCTTCCTCCCATCATGCAGTGCAGAGTTTACGCTTAAAGCAACCCATAAACTAATTCTAGTCATTTTGGTGTATTGAAGAAGAAGCATCGCTTTCAGAGTTTAACGGGGCAACATCATGAATTAGCTAACAAGAATGTACAAATTCGTTCCAGGTGATGTGATGTCATATTGTTTCCCAATTCTCAGTTATGTCAAAACGAGTAACTATTGAAGAGACAAACCCCTGTGAAATTATGACATCATTAGCTGTGATGAAATTGGTTTTTGTTTGTTTTTGTTCAGGTCACTGAGAAAACTTGCGGATTCGAACAAGAAATTGAAAATGAGAAAAGTCTTCCTCAAGACGCTGATGGTGACGTAGGAATTCAGGAACGGAACATGTAAGTTTACCAAAAAAAAAATCTATCTTCATTTTAATGTATCAGAACAAGCAAAGCGTAACCAGTGGTCGTGGTAAACCAAGAAATATTTGTTATAAATTATTATAACTTGTATTCCGAAAATTACAATAGCGTAAGGCATATCGCTAGTGTGTCTGTCAGTGAATAATAAAGTGAGGCTAAAGTGTCTTTAAAGATCGTTATCTGTATGAGCAGGAACTTAATGTACTGTCTGTGCTCATTCCAAAATATGGACAATTTCTTGAGATGATAAAGATGATAACGATAAAGAAGTAGAGAAGATTGCTCATCAAGAAGAAGAGAGATAGAGAGAGACGAAGAGGGTGAGAAAGGAAGGGGGTGGTCGAATAAGATATCTATTATTTTATGAGTAGAAAGTAGAACGAATGTCTGTCTGGCTGCCGCCGTCAGTTGCTGGCGATTGGCGACCACATCTGCACATCTTCTTGTTGTCTTTCTCCATTTGTTTCTATCCTGTGCTAATCTTTTGGCTCCTGAATATGTGAGACCTGTCCATTCTTCGATGTTATCGAACCACTGCTTTCTCTGTCTGCCTCTTTTTCTTTTTCCTTCTACTTGGCCTTCTATTATGTGTGCTGCTAAGGGGCTCCCACTGCCGAATAACGCGATCATAAGAGCGGTGTTTATGCCTAGGCATTTTAATTGATCTCCATTGACATCAGACATGAAATCATTTGTTTTGAACCACCATTATCTGTAAACATTACTTGTTTATATTTGGATAATCATTGCAACTAGTCATGTGCTCCTCTTAGATGAAACTTGGTATGATCCACTCACTTCTTTATGAGACTCAATTTTCTAATTGAAAATTATCCACTCAGTTGAATGCTTGTTAACGGCAAACCTTTTTATTAAAGGTTTTATTTCGTAACGCTCACAAACCGTTTGCATTGTTGGGGTCAAAATCTTTGCATTTAATTGTTCCTTACACCTTTTACTAATGATGAAACTAATTCTCCTCTATCTGATCATTTTTATATTAAATTTTATTTACAAATCTTACATTGTTCCTTACGAATCGATATAGACAAAATGCATTTATTTGCTTTTAATTTCCTTTGAAAACAAATAGCCGGGGACCTAAACCATCATCTAATCAGGCATTAATTACATCCAATGATGTATCAATACGCGGCAAGGGACTTTAAATGTCACATTCCAGATTTCAAACAAATGGACACCCCCCCCCCCCCCCCCTCCTTCCCCGAATATGGTGTCAGTCTCAAATGACATCATGTAATGTTATTGCCTCTTTTCAATTGCATATCATTGTATTGCTTTTTGCTTAAAATTTCATTTTCATAATACAAACAAAATTAGGTGCCAATTGATCGTTTCCATATCAGCCTCTTTATTTTAGAATGGAATTCGAACAAGTATAAGTCAAAATGACGCAACTGATTTCACAAGTTTTAAATGAATGGTTTCATAATATCGCATCGAGTACAATACCATAAGTATGCCTTTTGTATGTTATAGGGCCAAGGGAACCGGTATACCACTGATCACATCACTGCAAAACATGCCATCACACCATACATCCGGGGCTTTGGATTCTGAACACAATGAAGCACAGAGAGGGCATACAGATGCAGGATGTAGTGTACTGTCTAATACGCCTACATCACTACAACCGGGTGCAGATATAGAGGATGAAAAGACTGAGCTGTCACACGGCGCTCTTGTAAATTTGAACACCGACGCATTTGCTGATGACAAGTGCGTCCTAATGGAAGAATGCACATCTCCTCTGCAGCCAGGAGAAATCATGGACATCTTAGAGACTGAAAAGAGTGATGATTGGGATGCGATGTATAACACACTACTGGATGAAATATCTCCGAGTGATGTCAGTGCTTCCAAACTAGAGCTACCATTCAACCCTGACAAGATGGATAAGGAAGGTTACACACCGATGTATAATGCAGCTTTAGAAGGTCACCTCGAAGATGTTGATGATCTCATTTCACGGGGAGCAAACCCAAATACACCAAGTAAGGGTGGACTCCGTCCTCTTCATGCAGCGGATCGAGAAGGACATGCACACATCGTTGACTTCCTCATCCTGCAGGGGGCAGACGTAAGTGTTGAGTGTGATCTGGGTCAGACACCTCTTCATACGGCGGCTGCAAAAGGTTATCTTGACATCTTAGAGAGCTTGGTTTCAGAAGAAACTAACGTGAGCATGGAAGATCACACAGGGTGGACACCATTCAATGCAGCCGTTCAGTGTGGCCATTTAGAAGCCGTCAAATATCTCATGACCCAAGGAGCGAAGCAAAACAGGTTTAATGGAATTAGCCCACTATATACCGCTTCACTCGGAGGTCATATGGATGTCGTGAAATTCCTCATTTCTAGGGGAGCTGATGTGAACGAAGAAGGAGATGAAGGGCGGATTCCTCTCCATGGTGCAGCTGCTCGAGGCTACATAGAGGTCATGGAATATCTCATTCAGCAAGGATCCACAGTGAACAAGGGTGATGCCAAGGGTTGGACGCCCTTCAATGCAGCAGTAAAATATGGGCATCTAGACGCTGTCAAATATCTCATAACTGAAGGAGCGAAGCAGAACAGCTATGAAGGAATGACCCCACTTTATGACGCAGCAGTACTTGGTTATTTAGACATCGTCAAATACCTCATATCCAATGCAGCTGATGTGAACGAAGAAAATGACAAAGGGGTGATTCCTCTTCACGGTGCAGCTATTCAAGGCCAAAATAAAGTCATGGAATATCTCATTCAGCAAGGATCTGATGTGAACAAGAAAGATAACACCGGGCGAACTCCATTCAATGCTGCCGTTCAATATGGTCACGTAGAAGCCGTCAAATATCTCATTACTCAAGGAGCGAAGCAGAACAGCTATGATGGAATGACCCCTCTCTATGCCGCCGCACGATTTGGTCATTTGCACATCGTGGATTACTTCATTTCCAAAGGAGCTGATGTAAACGAAGAAGATGATGAAGGGGAGATTCCTCTCCACGGTGCAGCTGTTGAAGGCCACATAGAAGTCATGGAATATCTCATTCAGCAAGGATCTAATGTTAACAAGATTGATGCCAAGGGTTGGACATCATTCAATGCTGCTGTTCAAGGGGGTCATCTTGAAGGCGTCAAATACCTCATGACTGAAGGAGCGAAGCAGAACAGGTATGATGGTATGACCCCACTTTATGCCGCAGCACAATCTAATCATTTAGATATCGTCAAATTCTTCATATCTAATGGCGCTGATGTAAACGAAGAACATGACAAAGGGATGGTTCCTCTCCACGGTGCAGCTTCTGGAGGCCACTTAGAAGTCATGGAATATCTCATTCAGCAAGGATCTGATGTGAACAAGGCTAGCACAAGGCTAGCCAAGGGTTGGACACCATTCAATGCTGCTATTCAAAACGGCCATCTAGAAGCCGTCAAATGTCTAATGGCTGAAGGAGCGAAACAGAACAGATGTGCTGGTATGACCCCTCTCTATGCAGCAGCGCATTTTGGTCATTTAGACATCGTCAAATTCCTCTTTTCGAACGGAGCTGATGTGAATGAAGAAAATGATGATGGAATGATTCCTCTCCACGGTGCAGCTACTGAAGGCCACATGGAAGTCATGGAATATCTCATTCAACAAGGATCCGAGTTGAACAAGGTTGATCCCAAGGGTAGGACACCTTTCATTGCTGCTGTTCAAGAGGGCCATCTAGAAGCCGTCAAATATCTCATGACTGAAGGAGCAAAGCAAAACAGATTTGATGGTATGAACCCACTTCATGCCGCAGCACAGTTTGGTCATTTAGATATCGTCAAATTCTTTATATCCACCAAAGGAGTCGATGTGAACGAGGAGAATGATACAGGACGGATTCCTCTCCACGGTGCAGCTATTCACGGTAATGTTGAAGTCATGGAATATCTCATTCAGCAAGCATCCGAGGTGAATAAGAGTGATGCCAAGGGATGGACACCATTCAATGCTGCTGTTCAATATGGCCATCTAGAAGCTGTCAAATATCTCATGACTAAAGGAGCGGAGCTGAACAGATATGCTGGTAATAGTCCACTCTATACCGCAGCAGTATACGGTCATGTAGACCTCGTAAAATTCTTCATTTCCAAAGGAGTCGATGTGAACGAGGAGAATGATTCAGGACGGATTCCTCTTCTAGGTGCAGCTTTTCACGGTAACACTGAAGTCATGGAATATCTCATTCAGCAAGCATCCGAGGTGAATAAGAGTGATGCCAAGGGATGGACACCATTCAATGCTGCTGTTCAATATGGCCATCTAGAAGCTGTCAAATATCTCATGACTAAAGGAGTGGAGCTAAACAGATATGCTGGTAATAGTCCACTCTATGCCGCAGCAGTATACGGTCATGTAGACCTCGTCAAATTCTTCATTTCCAAAGGAGTCGATGTGAACGAGGAGAATGATTCAGGACGGATTCCTCTCCACGGTGCAGCTATTCACGGTAACACTGAAATCATGAAATATCTCATTCAGCAAGGATCTAATGTGAACAAGAGTAGTGCCACGGGCTGGACACCATTCAATGCTGCTGTTCAATATGGCCATCTAGAAGCTGTCAAATATCTCATGACTGAAGGAGCGGAGCTGAACAGATATGCTGGTATGACCCCACTCTACTCCGCAGCTCTATCTGGTCATGTAGATCTCGTCAAATTCTTCATTTCCAAAGGAGCCGATGTGAACGAGGAGAATGATACAGGACGGATTCCTCTCCACGGTGCAGCTATTCCCGGTAATGTTGAAGTCATGGAATATCTCATTCAGCAAGCATCCGAGGTGAATAAGAGTGATGCCAAGGGATGGACACCATTCAATGCTGCTGTTCAATATGGCCATCTAGAAGCTGTCAAATATCTCATGACTAAAGGAGTGGAGCTAAACAGATATGCTGGTAATAGTCCACTCTATGCCGCAGCAGTATACGGTCATGTAGACCTCGTAAAATTCTTCATTTCCAAAGGAGTCAATGTGAACGAGGAGAATGGTTCAGGACGGATTCCTCTCCACGGTGCAGCTATTCACGGTAACACTGAAATCATGAAATATCTCATTCAGCAAGGATCTAATGTGAACAAGAGTAGTGCCACGGGCTGGACACCATTCAATGCTGCTGTTCAATATGGCCATCTAGAAGCTGTCAAATATCTCATGACTAAAGGAGCGGAGCTGAACAGATATGCTGGTAATAGTCCACTCTATGCCGCAGCAGTATACGGTCATGTAGACCTCGTAAAATTCTTCATTTCCAAAGGAGTCGATGTGAACGAGGAGAATGATTCAGGACGGATTCCTCTTCTAGGTGCAGCTTTTCACGGTAACACTGAAGTCATGGAATATCTCAGTCAGCAGGGATCCGAGGTGAATAAGAGTGATGCCAAGGGATGGACACCATTCAATGCTGCTGTTCAATATGGCCATCTAGAAGCTGTCAAATATCTCATGACTAAAGGAGTGGAGCTAAACAGATATGCTGGTAATAGTCCACTCTATGCTGCAGCAGTATACGGTCATGTAGACCTCGTCAAATTCTTCATTTCCAAAGGAGTCGATGTGAACGAGGAGAATGGTTCAGGACGGATTCCTCTCCACGGTGCAGCTATTCACGGTAATGTTGAAGTCATGGAATATCTCATTCAGCAAGCATCCGAGGTGAATAAGAGTGATGCCAGGGGCTGGACACCATTCAATGCTGCTGTTCAATATGGCCACATAGAAGCTGTCAAATATCTCATGACTGAAGGAGCGGAGCTGAACAGATATGCTGGTATGACCCCACTCTACTCCGCAGCTCAATCTGGTCATGGAGACCTTGTAAAATTCTTCATTTCCAAAGAAGTCGATGTTAACGAGGAAAATGATTCAGGACGGATTCCTCTCCACGGTGCAGCTATTCACGGTAGCTCTGAAGTCATGAAATATCTCATTCAGCAGGGATCTAATGTGAACAAGAGTGATGGCACGGGTTGGACACCATTCAATGATGCTGTTCAAGGGGGTCATTTAGAATCCGTCAAATATCTCATAACTGAAGGAGCAAAGCAAAACAGATGTGATGGAATGACCCCACTCTACGCCGCAGTTCAATCTGGTCATATAGACCTTGTAAAATTCTTCATTTCCAAAGGAGTCGATGTGAACGAGGAAAATGATACAGGGCGGACTCCTCTTCACGTTGCAGCTATTCACGCCAACATTGAAGTCATGACATATCTCATTGAACAAGGATCAGATGTAAACAAGATGGATGCTGAGGGTTGGACACCACTCCATGCTGCTGCACAAAAAGGACATCTCGACATAGTCGATTACCTTACATTGAATGGAGGTGACATGAACCTGAAGGATATAGATGGTTTGACACCCCTTCAGGTAGCTGTAAACGCGGGCCATGTCCATGCAGTAGAACTCATCTCACCACATAGAGGTGACCCGGATGATGGAGAAACAGGAGATCCACGATCTGTAGGCCATCATTATCTCATCAGCAGAGGATATGTGACGGTATCACTGAAGAATACAGACACGCAGTCACGTATAGGACAGTTAGCATCTCAGGTAGATAATGGAGAGGATGAGAGTGACTGCACTCAAGCTGATATTGCGAAGAGAGGATCCAATGAGCTCTCCTTGAAGTATCTTTCCACGAGGACCCATGATGATGATTATCAGGAACACAATCCTTTCATTCAGGCTAAGCTGAAATGTCCTGACAAAGGTGAAAAATATCCGATGATATGTCTGAGAAAAGCAATGAAGTGCCCAGTGCAAAGGAAAGGAGACACCATAACACATGGCACACACCGCTCTTCCCCGCATGGACCTCAGACAGGGCAATACAGCGGATTCGATCCACCCAATCTACAAACCATGGAGACTGACGGTCATCCGTCTGAAGAACCGGAATCTAGATGTCACTCACTAATTGATGAAAACAGGGAAATGAGAGTGAGTGGTTATTATTTGTTTAAGTTTTCTCTAAACAAAGCAAATGCTCTATATTTGGTTGAATCTTTGGATAAAAAAAGATAATGGAAAATACAGATATGTTTAGAAGCAACCATTCAGCCAATTCTAAAATCATCATAGAGATGACAAACAAAGCTTCGTGAAGATTCCGTAATATGTTTTGCTTCAAACACACCTATGCATGAGAAGAGGACTCAAATTCTAAAAATAGAGAATGAAAAATTACAATTATACACAATGGTCAGTTATTTTGGTTGTAAGAAACAATAACGTGTTCATTCCAGTTGTTTGTCTTTCTCGTTGTTTGTCTAATTCATCCTAGAGCACCCGTGCTGACCAAAACTAATTGTCGCTATTCTGTCTTCTTGGATCATATCATTTCACAGCATTCTTATATGACATTTTCTACGATGTATTTGATTTTCCCTTCAGGAATCTCCTTCACCCTGTCCGATGAATGCTGGAAATGATCTTCCAATCAACGAACCATACCCCCCCCCCCCCCCAATTTTTATTGTTCACATCGGATGCTTCCTGATTGACATATTCCGTGACTTTTGTCAAATTTCATCAACGTTCTTTTTTAAATTCATACCCTTTTGATTTAGACCAAACGTCAAAAATCGGTTGACCGCTGTCCTTCAATCCTGGCCCTCGTACAAACTTTCCTGCAGGTGATTATCACTTTGGCCATCATTCTTGCTGGAAGTCCGGTTCTTGTAGCAGGCATCGATAGCATCGAACGAGTCACGCTACAAGCAGGTAAACCTGGTGTGGTCCCATTCCTTCTCCCATGGCCACCTAATAGTACATCCCACGATGTTCCATATTACACCCTTGGATTTCAATCCGAGCCTCTTCCATTCTGCATTAATGGACAGAATGATATTGCGGGCTTCAAAAACCCATCCCAGTTGCGAAGGTTTACCACCTCAGTCAAAGATTTAGACACCTCTCCTTGTGTGAATCTAATGATAGATAACGTTGATACTCTAGATGAGGATGGGTACGTCTTAACGGCAGTCTGGCATAGTTCTGAAAACGTTAGGTATGAAACTATAAAGAAGGAGGTTGATGTACAAATCCCACCCGGACAAGCAAAATGCTTCATCACTTTAAGTGGAAATGTTGATTATCCGTATGAAGTACACTGTCGAGCCACCACTGGAAGCGTTACAAGCACACTATCATGTTACCAGAATGATCAGAAGATTGACGTCAAGGATGATATTACAGATAATGGGCTAATTACCAGTGGCATATTTTTGCTACCCCATATCACTCATTTCTCTTGTTGCTCACATGATGTATCTTTGGATGTAAGTCAAACAATGTGCAATGACTTCGAGTGGCCATACGGCAAAGAAACTACAAGCCTTACTGTCCATACTGTACCTACGGTTACCACTCCCACACCCCAAATAGAATCTCATACAGGGTCAGGGGCTTGTAGGCAATTCATCCTTCCTTCTGTGTGGCACTTCACGTACCTGTTCGTATACCTCCTTGCCTTTGTTACAATGTACTAAACACAAAGTCTTCACACGTGATGTCACTTTCTTGTTTATAAGATAGTGTAATATGTACAAATAAATACAAACAAATATCATAGTTCGAATTCGAATTTCATTAATGTATACAATGTACGAAACATTTACTATTTCATAGTCGTTGCTAATATTCATACATGTATGTTTTTATTTGAAAGAAAATATCAAAATGGCCTACTTTTCAATTCGTTGTTATGTGTATGTATGCTTTGTTTAATAGTCTATGGTCGGCTATATTTCAATAATTGAGGGAACATATTTAATATCGAAGACATTCCCTTTTGTCAGCATGTCATTTGACATAGACCATTTAAAGAAAAGGTTGAGTTCTGGGAAGAGGTGAACAATAATTTCTGAGCGTGTTCATTGTTATTATGCAAGTGTGGAAGAACATCAGAGAAAAAATGTTCCCTGATAAGCATGGCTCTTCAAATGCCTTCATATTATAAATATGACATATAACAGCTTAAAAATGAGAACCTCATTTTTATGTGTAGTCCCGTTTACATCTTTCTGTGTAGAATGCTTGTTACTTTTACCAAGACTGGACCAAACTTCTTACCATTTTGATGATTCCAGAACCTTAAAGTACACACCAATACTTACAAGCTACATGGTCATCTTGTTTTGATCGATTCCACACCGTTTCTTTCACAATGCAATCGCATGACCAGAACTCAAAATTATCTTTAAGTAGCTTGCTATCACCCAGCCATGTCTGACCCCCATTTTAGAATGAATTTGAACCATGGGGAAAACATGAGTTACTCCTAGGATTGACATGTGCACGATGAACATTACTCTAAAGTTCTATGATACCCATAATATATCCTCATCGTTAATCATGAAAATATTAATTTGGAATGTGATTTCTTTCCACATTTTATTTTCACTATTTTCAACTTTATGTCGAGACTGGTGTTACATTTAAACGACATGATATAAACATAACGAATCACGTCAGAGATTATAATAAATTACACATAAGAAGTGAATATACCATTATATTGTAAATATCCCCCGTTTGAAACCAGAAAGTCAAACACGTTACCACAGATATAATGCCTGTCTGGCTGCAAATGTCAGTACATGGTTATTTATCGTTGTCTAAACGTGTAAATATGACTTTGGATCATGAAAATAAGAAATATTGAACGGGGACGCATGTTCCATTGTCAAAGTCAAAGTAAATTTTCATAGTGCACATGCTTATGCAAGCAGTGAAGTGAAGTTGTGCCTATACATCTTAAGCTATTCGACTAAACAGTTTTATCAATTTTAAAACACAGTCTTTTATAGCGCACATTGTGGTAAAATGATTTGTTTTCTCATAAAGTCTGCGTTTCTTTTCTTTTGTATACTTATGTTATTCATATTACTTTTAGTTAGCGGCCCGTTGATTGATTGGTTGAGTACCGTATGCGTCGGCCAATAGGCCTGGTGCATTAGCCGAACCAGCGGCCGAACCAGCGGCCTGGTGATTGGTCGATCACGGTGTGCGTCGACCAATAGGCATTGCGCGTTATTGTTCCAATTATCGATCGAATTATAGACCGCTCCGCCGGTCCTCCCGGAAAGTATAAAAGACCCTTGCTTACAAATCAGTTTTTATCACCTGACGAAGTGTTGCAGATAGCGCACGAAACGTCGTGAACTTTTAGATTCCTTATTGACCACATTGCGAGACAAACGAATATCACTAGCGATATTATTTTCGATACTTTTAGTTTCTTCAACATTGCTGTTGAAAACCATTTCCTACATAATATGTTTGGCTTATTCAATTATTTAAAAAATATATTTAAAGTGTACGTCTACTTTTACTAACGTATTTTACATTGATATACATGTACTTGCAGAACGGCTTGAATTGATATTGATGCGTGAATTATGTTATGGAAGGCCATTTCCGACACAAGTCACGCACGATAGTGAAATTGTGCTTCATTGCAGAATATGATATTATATGAGCAACTTACTGCATGAAGTTATGCGTAGTGTATATCACATGTTAATTTCATAATCTAAGAATATTTGAATCACAGAGTTTGAATAAGATGTAAAATGAAAAGAGGAACACTATATAATCACGTACAAGTAGCAAGATTTTTTATAATATCTTTGTAAAAAGAACAAAATATAAATGTGATTTAAAAAACATGCTTTGCAGAAATATTGTAACAAGTCCGTCAAAGGCAGATTGAGTCTTCCTTCTTGTTTTACTCTCCTTGCCACATTAAGGCTTAGAGCTGACCCAAGTATGTTGTGTTGTTGTCCTGATTGCTTTACATGTATACCTTTATCTTGAATCGGTTATCTAGCATACGGTAACGAATCCAGGGGTTGTATTCCCCTGTCCCGTTTATCGTGTACAATATGTACAGTCTATATGGCCTTAGCATACATAATGGTGCCAAAACTTTGATCCTGCTATCATCTTTTGAATATTTGTTGTGTCATCTTTACTTGAATTTAAGTGCACCAATTTCAAATATCTATGTAAGCCGCAATTTAAATGTCATGGCTAAATAATACTTATGGTGGACTTACAATATTTAATTTGCATTTTATCATACATAAAAAAAACTCATACACTTTTAATACTTTATAGTTTTATCCTCAATTCCTTGATTTTTTGTAAGGCTAAGAATGTCCTATGGACTGCGTTCTCTATATTATAAATGAGTGACCTTATCATATTGTAAATCCATGTAAGTTATTAGAATGGCCAACCTCTTTTGTATTCGGAGGAAATTAAATGCTTAGATTGTGCACATGTTTAAGTTATCTTTGACATTAACAGCGACGTGCTTGCTCATATTGTCCATTTATTGCAGCGTTTTTATTGTATTTTATGAAACAATGTTTTTTAATAAAATGAATATATGGATAACACATTTTGGAATTTTTATTAGGGTGTGCTGGTAACTAACGGTCTAATGTTGCCATTTAAGATTAACAGAAACAGACTTTTAGAGGTCCGGTTCTTTTTCTCTATATGCTAAAGCTCGTAAAAGGACGATGTAGATACAAAAAACACTAAAAAGCACTAAAACCAATAATTAAATAGTTAACAAATAAACGCATATATCAGGATTTATGCAACGCAGCCTGTTTAATAGCGTCGTTGTATAGGTGTATTGGCTTCACCTTGCATTATTTGGGAATGGTAATAGTCATAGAGAGCCTATTCACGTTTGTGAATCATACAATATGAAATGTGTAAGAAATATTGAAAGTTATCAATGTTAATATCTAATGCTGTATATTAATCGTCGATACAGGTCATTTGTTATTTTTTATGAATTATTTACGATTTATAATGACATTGTTTTTAATATTTTGCCTACCGTTAGAGCTTATCTTCTAAATTGAAATTTGTATATATATTGTTGAGTATAGTATGCATTTTGTTGAGTATAGTATGCATATTGTACAGTTATATATGAAAATCGTAGTCAATTGATTGGCAAATATTGACCTGTATAATAACCGAACCTCTCTGCGTATTGTGAATAATGAATTACGAAAGTTTGAAGTCTTAGTAACGAAATGATTAATGTTGTATTTGTATATCACTCATTATTTTACTCAATATTATAATCACGATAATAAAACGAAACTTCTTGGTATTTTGTGATAGAGTAAGTGCATAGATTGTGCACATTTTGAAGTTATCTTTGACGATCATACCGACATACTTACCCATATAACGACAGTATGTTGGTAACAAAGGGACTAATTTCCTATTAAAAAAACTGTTATCCACCAAAATACCAGCCATGATGAGGAGAGACAAACTAAAAAACAATAATTGAATAATTAACACAATTATGTATGTACATATTCTGATTTATCGCTATACAATATAAGATACCTATATATAATTTACATATATCCAATGAAGGTAACAATGGTACATGTATGTAAAAAAGAAGTAAACTCCTATTGTATTTGATAATCTTGCAAACGAGAGAAATTTGTAAAAATTATCTTCCTTTGTAAATAATGTTATCACTATACCATATAACGTATACTTTTACTTAGTGTTTCAGTGTTCTTCTATTCATTTGTGAATAGTTATTTTGTAAACACTGAATAGATAAAATAGATGTATAGAATGTGCATAAAGTTCTTCTAGTTTCATATATGATCAGTATGCTTCCAAGCCTCTCAGTGCGTTATGTTACTATTAATATATGTTAACGTCGTTTCAAAACAACAACAACCACAATTCATCAGCTGGTTATTATGCACTAACAATGTTATACTCTCATGAATTTCAATAGTTTTTTCGCACTTTGTTTTTTAAAAACTTGAAAGTGTTTGCTTTCTCGCTTTTCTCTGGAATAAAGAACTTGATGATTAAACCATGACAATTACATAGTTATGTACCCATGCAGTAATATATATTGTTTTACAGTGTTGTGTTTTGCTGTAGTAGAATGAAATCCATATTACAAGGGCATACATATTAGAAGTGTAAATATAAAACAAGAAAGAAAGGACGAGAGAAACAGAACACAGCTCAACACATGCATGTAGTTATATCCAATGCAGCGTGTTTAATTGCGTCTTTGTAGAAGTTTATTGGTCTCATTGTGTGTGATGAGGAAATGATAATATTAATACGGAACTTATCTACGTAATGTTAATCTTACGATATGAAATTTGGAAGGATTATAATGGTAATCTGTGGTATTCGTTAACGCTGTATATTATTCGTTAAGATATTGTTTATGAATTGTTTACATGAATTGATAATGATTTGTAATAATATCGTTGCCCGTATTCTACATACTTTGGTGCATATCTTCTGTATTTTTATGAATATAGTATAAACTGTAAAGTATGCATATTGTACAGTTATCTATCAAACTCATAGTCAATTAATTTTCACAAATTTGTCTGTATAATAACAACCTCTCTGCGTACTTTGAACAGTAAATAACAAAGGTTTGAAGTCGTAGTAATAAAACTATTAATGTTGTATACGTAAATATCTCAAAATTTTACTCAATATTATAATCATGATAATAAAGGCCACCTCTTTTGTATTTGGGGGTAGATTATATGCTTAGACAGTGCACATATTCAAGTTATCTTTGACATGCACACCGACATACGTGCTCATATTGTCCATTAATGTGCAGTGTTTTAATGGAACAATTTTATTATAAAAAAATCATTTATATAGCGCTCAATACACCGATCCAACGATGTGCCCAAGCGCTTTATAGATATATTATGAAAGTATGTTTGTACATACGGTATAATTTTGCTTTTCGAGAACAACGGAAACACTTTTAGAGATCCGTTTCATTTGCTGTACATATTGATACTCGTAAAATGACGATGTAGAAATACACGAAAGGGCTAGTCATGAAGAGGAAACACATACTAAAACAATATTGAAATGATTAACACAATTATGTTTGTACATATCATAATTAACGGCTACACAATGCATGAAACATAGGCCTATATCATGCATGAAATAACTGAATCCCTACTTTTTTTATAATCATGCAAACGCAAGAAATTCGAAAACCATATTCCTTTTATTACTATACAATTTACGTTTACTGAGTGTTTCTGTGTTTTCTATTAAATTACGAATTTTAACACAAAATAGATGAAATAAATGTATAGACCGCACATGTAATCTCTAGTTTCCACTATGATTAGAATGCTTCCATGCATTTCAGCGGGTTATTATACTATCAATATAACTATGTTAAACTTACTTCAAAACAACAACAACAACAAAGAACCGTCAGGCTGGTTATTATGCACTAACCATGCTAACCTCTCGTGAATCACAATAATGTTGTTCATTTTAATGCTTGAATATCTGTGCTTTATTGCATTTCTGAAATAAAGAACTTATTTAAACCATGACAAGGACATAATTATATACCCATCAAGGAAGTAAAATATCGTGTTATAGTGTTGTATTTTGTTATATATAACGTATACGTATCACAAGTGTAAATATAAAAGAAAAAGAAACGGACGAGCGAAACAAATAACAAATCAACGCATATACATGTATATATATA